CCATCAGGGCAGTTTTCTTCTTTACAAGGTAACAAAGTAACTTACCATCGGTTTCCCATAAAACGGAAAACCTTGTAGCTGCCTCAAAGCATTGGTAGATGATCCAAGTTCTTTAAATATAACAAATGCCTGTCCTCTCATCTTCATGGTCTTTAAAGCCACAATGTCGACCACATGGCCAAACTGTGAGAATAACGCATACAGGGACCTCTTCAGCTCTGGGGACCGAAGGAGAAAACAAATTTTAACAGGCTACATGCAAATTTTCACTTCTACTGAGTCTTCTATCTTTGGAAACAATGTTTTTTACAAGCTTTAGTTGACACAGTGAGTACCTGAGTTTGTCAAAACTGCTGCATCAGTACAAGTTCATTTGTTCAGGTTTTGTAAGAGGGTGTACAACATTTGGTCTCAAACCTCAGGGATTCAGGTAGGGAAGACATTCTAGTGCCATCCATTCTACCATTCCAAGGGAGTCACAGTTACATAAGGGTATGCAAAATCATATTTTCATACATGTATAAACACACACAGTCCCTCACACAATCAAGTATGATGATGACAGCCATCTCAGACCGATCAGAAAATCAAAACTGAAACAGTTTTACTACTGAAGCAGCAGTAAAGAGATGTGCTGTAAAACAAGAATGCAGCAAAATAGTAACTACCTAAAGGTTAATTAAAGTTGGAAATTTTGGTTGTAACTGTTTAATCAATTTTTGCATTCACATTAAGTATTTTGTCATATCCTGGATCCAAATTATTTTTGCATGAGACTACTGCAGCTTACAGCAGTATTGGATTTACTTTAATTATTTACAATCACCTGAATATATGCCAAATTAAACCTTAGTCCAATCCAAATCAAGCTAAATAAATAATCTGTACTGTGTAATCATTCTAAGACAAAAACCTTATATTTGAACTATTTTAGCAATGTAAGAGCGCTGCCTCTTCTTTATTGCTGTTGAGATTTGGTGATACCAGTCCACTGTCACTTTCTCCAACTTTTCTCCACCTGCTCCTGACTAACTAGAGTGTGGTGGTTTTTTTATTAAAAAAAAGGTTTTCTCTCAAAACACTTTCCCTAAAAATTACCCTATCACCTGTATTAAAATAGGAAGTAATTTGTAATCTTAAAAGGTACTTTAATACCCTATATTTAAGCCATGGTAATCCTATGAGATGTAACAAGACCAAGTGCAAAGTGTTAAACCTGGGCAACATCCAGCATCAATCAATCAATCCAGGCTGGGGGATGGACAGATGGACAGCAGCACTGGGGAGAAAGACTTGGGGTGATGGTGGAGAAGGGGCTGGACATGAGCTGCACATGTGTAATCACAGCCCAGAAACCAACCATGTCCTGGGCTGCATCCAAAGCAGGGTGGGCAGTGCCCTGCGAGGGATGGGACTCTGCCCCACTCAGGTGAGAGCCCACCTGCAAGGCTGCATCCAGATCTGGGATCCAGCACAGAAGGACATGGACCTGTTGATGCAAGTCCAGGAGGCCACCAAGTTGATTAGAGAGATGGAGCACCTCTCCTATGAGGAAAGGCTGAGAGATTTGGGGTTGTTCAGCCTGGAAAAGAGAAGGCTTAGGAGTAATCTAAGTGTTGCCTTCCAGTACCTGAAGGGAGCCTACAAGATGGAGAGAAACTATTTACAATGGCTTGGAGTGACAAGAAGAGAAGTAATAGCTTCAAACTGAGAGGAGGCTTAGATGTGATATTGGGAAAATATTTTTTACTGTTAGGCTGGTAAGGCACAGGAAGAGGTTGCCCACAGAGGCTGAGGATTCCCCATCCCTGAAAATGTTCAAGACTGGCCTGCAGGGAGATCTGAGCAGCCTGATCTAGCGGGAGGCACGTTTGTTTGCTTTAGCTCCCGTTTCATTTCGAGACTTTTGCCTAGAACTCGGCTCATGACCGCCTCCCGCTCGGAGACCTCCGGGAGCTCCTAAAAGCCCCTTTGTAAGACAAGTGCCGCATGCACTGCATGACCAGGCCTCACCGGACAACCTCCCCGTTCCAGAGGAGATCGGCAGCCATCCCTACCTTCCTTCTTGATCTTGTCGTTGATGTTGTTGATGTAGATGGTGTGGTTCGGCCTGATGTCCATTCTCGGCGGCACCTATGAAGCTGCCTGCGGGCAGAACACACAGGGGAGGCGTTAGCGGCGGCCGGGGCGCTGCCAACGCCGGCGGCACCTCACGGCCCCGGGCAGCGGCACCACGAGCCTGGGGGCGGCC